GATTGATTATATTCCTTGCAGCCAAAGATGGAGAAGCTCTATACAGTCAGCAAAAACAAGACCAGGAGCTGACTGCAGCTCAGATCGTGAACTCCTTATTGCCAAATTCAGACTTAAATTGAAGGAGGGAAAACCACTAGACCATTCAGGTATGATCTAAACCAAATCCCTTACGATTATACAGTGGACATGACAAATAGATTCAAGGGATTAGATCTGATAAACAGAGTGCCTTAAGAACTATGGACAGAGGTTCATGACATTGTACAGGAGGCAGGGATCAAGAAAAAGAAATGCAAAAACACAAAATGGTTCTCTGAGGAGGCCTTGCAAATATCTTTGAAAAGAAGAGAAGTGAAAGGCAAAGGAGAAAAGGAAAGATATACCCATTTGAATGCAGAGTTCCAAAGAATAGCAAGGAGAGATAAGAAAGCCTTCCTCAGTGATCAGTGCAAAGAAATACACGAAACAAATAGAATGGGAAAGACTAGAGATCTCTTCAAGAAAATTAGAGAAACCAAGGGAACATCTCATGAAAAGATGAGCACAATAAAGGACAGAAATGGTATGGACCTAACAGAAGCAGAAGATATTAAGAAGAGGTGGCAAGAATACACATAAGAACTACATAAAAAAGATCTTCATGACCCAGATAACCATGATGGTGTGATCACTCACCTAGAGCCAGACATCCTGGAATGCAAAGTCAAGTGGGTCTTAGGAAGCATCACTATGAACATAACTAGAGGAGGTGATGGAATTCCAGTTGAGCTATTTCAAATCCTAAAAGATGATGCTGTGAAGGTGCTGCACTCAACATGCCAGCAAATTTGGAAAACTCAGTAGTGGCCATAGGACTGGAACAGGTCAGTTTTCATTCCAATCCCAAAGAAAGGCAATGCCAAAGAATGTTCAAACTACTGCACAATTGCACTCATCTCACACACTAGCAAAGTAATGCTCAAAATTCTTCAAGCTAGGCTTCAATAGTACATGAACTGAGAACCTGAAGATGTTCAAGTTGGATTTAGAAAAGGCAGAGGATCCTGAGATCAAATTGCCAACATCTGTTGGATCACTGAAAAAGCAAGAGAGTTCCAGAAAAACCATCTACTTCTGCTTTATTGACTACACCAAAATCTTTGACTGTGTGGATCACAACAAACTGTGGATAATTCTTAAAGAGATGGGAATACCAGACCACCTTACCTGCCTCCTGAGAAATCTGTATGCAGGTGAAGAAGCAACAGTTAGAACTGGACAATGAACAACTGACTGGTTTAAATCAGGAAAGGAGTATGCCAAGGCTGTATATTATCACCTTGCTTGTTTAATTTATATGCAGAGTAAATCATGAGAAACACTTGGCTGGAGGAAGCACAAGCTGGAATCAAGATTGCCGGGAGAAATATCAATAACCTCAGATATGCAGATGACACCATACTTATGGCAGAAAGCCAAGAACTAAAGAGCCTCTTGATGAAAGTGAAAGAGGTGAGTGAAAAAGTTGGCTTAAAACTCAACATTCAGAAAACTAAGATCACTGCATCCAGTCCCATCCCTTCATGGCAAATAGATGGGAAAACAATGGAAAAGTGACAGACTTTATTTTGGGGGGCTCCAAAATCACTGCAGATGGTGACTGTAGCCATAAAATTAAAAGACACTTGCTTCTTGGAAGAAAAGCTATGACAAACCTAGACAGCATATTAAAAAGCAGAGACATTACTTTGCTAACAAAGGTCCGTCTAGTCAAAGGTATGGTTTTTCCAGTAGTCGTGTACGTGAGAGTTGAGCACTGAAGAATTGATGCTTCTGAACTGTGGTGCTGAAGGAGACTCTTGAGAGTCCCTTGGACTGCAAGGAGATCCAACCAGTCCATCCTGAAGGAAACTAGTCCTTAATATTCTTTGGAAGAACTGATGCTGAAGCTCCAATCCTTTGGCCACCTGATGTGAAGAACCGACTCATCTGAAAAGACCCTGATGGTGGGAAAGATTGAAGGCAGGAGGAGAAGGGGACAACAGAGGATGAGATGGTTGGATGGTATAACCGACTCAATGAACACGAGTTTGAATAAGCTCTAGGAGTTGGTGATGGACAGAGAAGCTTGGCGTGCTGCAGTCCATGGAGGTGCAAAGAGTTGGACACGACTGAGCAACTGAACTGAACTGAACAACAGTAAATGTATTGACAGTCAACTGACAAGTAAGTTCACACATTTAAAAAAGGAAATAAACTAAGCAATTTGAACTATTAATCAAAGAAGACCTCCAATTTTTTCTCCATTTTCCTGTATCTTGATATTATTTCCTAAAGAGCTGCCAACAGCATTTTATCTAGCATTTTATTGCATCCTGGCTCTGTCATCACCAATGTGACCTTGGGCAACCTACATAACCAAACTGTGCCTTAGTTTCCTCAACTGTCAAAAAAAAAATACTATTACTTCATAGGGTTGTTGTGAGGACTAGATAAGTTATATACAAATGCTTAGAACAACATTTGGACACTACATATTTGTCATTATCTCCTTAAATTCCTTTAAGAATTTAAGTCACATTGCTAAGCAGAAGACAATTTTCTTTAAAAATTCCATTACAAAGGAAAAGAGGAAATAATATATCTCTAGAGGACCGAAATGTTTAATAGGTAAAGGGACATCAGGCCCAGTTTCATTGATAGGATAATCAACAGCTACACTGGCCTTTTTATTCTTGGTGACACAGTCAAAAAATGTGATGTTTCTCACTCTCTCTTCAGGGCTCCAAGTGAGATTTACACATGAAGATATTCAATAAACATTAACTGTTTTTTTGTTTTTGTTTTTGTTTCAACTTCTGGGCTTCCCTGATGGCTCAGTGGTAAAGAATCTGCTTGAAAATGCAGGAGATGTGGATTTAATCCCTGGGTCAGGAAGATTCCCTGGAGAAAGAAATGGCAACCCACACCAGCATTCTTGTCTGGAAAATCTGATGGACAGAGGAGCCTGGTGAGCTACAATCCATGGGGTTGCAAAGAGTCAGACACGACTTAGTAACTAAACAACAAATTTGTCATTTCACTGTTTTTGAATAGGTGGTAAGAGATTTAGTATAAAGCTCAAATAGGACAGAGTTCATGGGGAAAAGAGAATTTCCCTTCCTCTCCAGCTCCCTGTATGTGCGGTAACACTGTCAAATCTAATTCTCAGTTCTTTCCAGAAATGAAGCATCGCTTAAAACAAGGGAAAGCAAGAGCACACCCAACCAACTGGTTATTATTTGCCATGAAAATGCAATCAGGAGAAATCTTTAACAGCATACATTGCTCTACCGGTGAGTAGGGAAAAATTATTAATTTATATTCAAAGTATAACTCTAATTCACTATAAAAATACACATTAAAAACACAGAAGAAATATGTCCAAAAGTGGCTGTTTCTATATTGTTAGGTTAAGGTTGACCTTTTTTCCTCTGATTGATCAACTTTTTCAAAGAAAACTTTAAAGATGTTCTAAACTGAACATCTATTTCACAACCAGGGGAAAAAAATTACTCTACTGTTCTATCGTGTATTATTATTAATACTTAATACAGCCACCAAATCTGAAAACCACATCCAGCTTCAGAATGTAACTTAAAGGTTTTACATACCTCACATTTCCCAAATGGAATTGTGGAAAATACAAATTATAACCATAAGCTGATAAGACTTTTAAATGAGCATTTCATGTCTTTCATCATCAAGCTATTGTTACTCTTTTCAGAGTAATTGCCTGGGGAGAGTACACATTTATTCTCAAAAGTAAAAAAAAAAAAAAGGCAAAATAATACATTATTTTCTAAAGAAAGAGCACTTAGACCTAGGCACTGAGGCTTCATTTTCATGCAGGAAGGTTGGGGGGTGAGGAGTGGGTGGCACTGCCTAGGTTCTGCTGGGCTCTGGCCCTGAGGGCTTAGAGAAGGCCCGAAGCGTTCCTCTGGCCCCTGCGCGGGGTCGCTGCGCCTGTGGGTACAGACCCTGCGCTGATGCGCACACACAGACAAAGGTCATCTCGGAGCTTCCCACACAGAGCTCAGAAGCTGCCGCTCCAAAGCCACCAAGGCAGTGATAACCTCGGTATCACTTGTAGTTCGTCATTCGCTCTCTGGAGCTATGTGAAGTTTGACATTTATGGTCAGCACTGGCACAAATGAGGAAGGACTCTGAGTCTGGAAAACTGGAACTAAGGAAAACACAGGGCAGTGGGTGTGGCAGGGTCTACCCCGAACGGTGGCATTAGAGAGTGGGCATGCGCGCGCGGCAGGCACGGCACCCCGAATCGCGCTGGCATTAGAAATCGGGCATGCGCGCGCGGCAGGCAGGGTCTACCCCGAACGCTGGCATTAGAAATCGGGCATGCGCGCGCGGCAGGCACGGTCTACCCCGAATGCTGGCATTAGAGACCGGGCATGCGCACGCGGCAGGCACGGTCTACCCCGAACGCTGGCATTAGAGACCGGGCATGCGCGCGCGGCAGGCACGGTCTACCCCGAACGCTGGCATTAGAGACCGGGCATGCGCGCGCGGCAGGCACGGTCTACCCCGAACGCTGGCATTAGAGACCAGGCATGCGCGCGCGGCAGGCACGGTCTACCCCGAACGCTGGCATTAGAGACCGGGCATGAGCGCGCGGCAGGCACGGTCTACCCGAACGCTGGCATTAGAGACCGGGCATGAGCGCGCGGCAGGCACGGTCTACCCGAACGCTGGCATTAGAGACCGGGCATGCACGCGCGGCAGGCACGGTCTACCCCGAACGCTGGCATTAGAGATCGGGCATGCGTGCGCGGCAGGCAGGGCCTCCCTCACACACGCACTTGAGGTCAGCTGCTGGGCAATCCCCACAGACAGAAACCTCCGGGAATGGGGGCGGGGGGAGGCAGCGGGCGCAGAGGCTTCTGCGATTTAAATCAAAGGGCTACTTGGAAGCTATGACCCTATGATCTTCCCTGACAGAACTCAGGCAGGGAACTCACAGAGAGGTCAACGACTGTCCTGATGGCCTTTTCTTTCCTCTTGATGAAGTCATCATCCTGCAAGACAAGAATACACAGGGATGAAACAAATCCTGCGTAAAGACTGAAACTCAATTAGACTGCTCAGCAATCTGTCCTGTAAACTGGCTTCTCATCACAGCTTTGTCTGAAAAAGTCTCAATTTTCTAACAAATTGGAATACACTAAGCATGAGGAAAGTGAGGGCCTCTGTCAAGGGCTCCAAAACAGATCCCTGCAGCTGGTAAGAAAAAAGGGGACCGCAGAGTGTAGAGGCGGAGACAAGTGTTCTCAGTTCAAATCCTCTGAGTTCTGAGACCTTAGCAAGTTACCTCACCTCCAAGCCTCAGCTTCTCCACTTGGAAACCAGGGAGCGATCATGAGGATCAAGAAGCAGAAGGCATGTAGTGCGCTGGGACTGGAATGTAGCAGGTATCTGACAGAAATCAGCAGTTATTGTTGCTGTGATTATTATTCAACTGCTACTGTAGGTGTGTCATCCTAAGCAGATGGTCTCTTGAAAAGCTTCATATAATTATACAGAAATATGCTCATGTTCCGGAGAAGGCAACTGCACCCCCTCCAGTACTCTTGCCTGGAGAATCCCATGGACGGAGGAGCCTGGTGGGCTGCAGTCCATGGGGTCGCAAAGAGTTGGACGGACTGAGCGACTTCATTTTCACTTCGCAGTTTCGTGCATTGGAGAAGGAAATGGCAACCCACCCCAGCGCTCTTGCCTGGAGAATCCCAGGGATGGAGGAGCCTGGTGGGCTGCCGTCTATGGGGTCGCACAGGGTTGGACACGACTGAAGCGACTTAGCAGCAGCAGCAGCATGCTCATGTTCTTGTACTTTAATAAAAGGTCTGGGTCAAGTACCAAAATTGAGAGAAAAGGACAAAATTATAGAGCTTGGCACTCAGTGCCCATTCAAAGAGGGCAATTCAAATGAACCAGGAGGTCCAGGTTCAGTGCTGACCAGGTGGGCGCAGAGACGCCATAGCGTGGGGGAGGAGCACAGGGGAGCCTGAGCTTACTCTGCTTCTTCCAGGGGGTCCCTAACTGTGTGCTCAGGTTCTCAGCTGGACAAGAAAAGAGCAGAACACTGACCTCAGGCAGACTGTAGGTTTTCTGGAACTGGGATATGGAGTAGGAGCGGATGTAGTCACCCATCTCTTCTTTTGTTTCTATAGCTCGCTTCACCAGCCACTGGGGAAAAGTGCAGAAATGTGAGCTGATGGGGATGAAACACAGTGAAGTAAAGGGTAACGACCAACTCAGAGATGGCACAGGTCCTGAATCTGAATCACAGAACACGAACTACCCAGGTTTCAAGCAACCATCAAAACACACTGTCGTGCAGGGAAGACAGCCGCTGGTCATCTGGATGCTGAGACGGGGGGACTGGAGCCGACAGCCTCAGAGGAACCGTGGAGCCTTGCTCCAGGTGCCCAGGCCTCAGTTTCCTTCTCTGCTAAAGTGGGGGGCAGAGCGTCATTTCTTTTCACCTCACAGAGCGACTGCGGGAGCACATGAAACAGAAGTGGCAGATGGCTCTGTAAATACTGGAGCCCGCCGAAGCCTCCTGCGTCTAACGGCAGACCTTGACAGAACCCTCCCCGTCGTGCGCTGCTGGTGCCACAGACCACAGGAAGGAAAGGGAACCAGTGAGGACGGCTAGCGGGACCCTCGTCTGATAGGTGAAAGAACCTCGGACATTGTGTGAGACCAGATGTGCCAAGGACAGCCTCAGACCTCAGGGGCGGCTGAGCGCTCAGCATCCATGAACGCTGTGAGGTAGCGGCACTGACCGCGCTTTACAGAACCGGACGCTCAGGGAGGTGACATCAACCCGCCCAGTGGTCCACAGCCAGCAGCTGCTGGCCACAGCCCGGAGGGTCCACCGCCAGGCCATGGCACGTCTGGGCTTCACGCATTGTTTCCCAGACCCACCGAGCGGACATGGGCAGGGAGCCGCTCTTCGCGTCTGCTGACCTACAGCTCCAGGGAGCTGAAACACACACCCACACCCTGTGGCAGGCCCAGGCCCTCTGAGCCTGAGCGTGCAGACTACAAAGACAGCCTCTCCTCCCCCTCCTGGCTCTGCGCGCGGAGACCTCTGTGGAGGGGTGCCAGGCTCTCTCCAGGGAGCTACATCTCAGGGGCAGTTTCTGTACAGTCGTTGTGCTGCCCCAGAGGGCACAGCTGCACATAGCACAGGGCTCCTGCTCAGAACGGCGGGCAACTCAAGAAAAGGACGTGCCAGGAAGCAGCTGCCCGCAAAGGCAGTGGCCACAAGTACCTCTAGGAGCACTCTTTTGTTGCTAGAACCCTCCACTCCACCCCAACTCCAAACAGTAACCGCAGGCACTGCCTAAAATCCAGGGGTGCAGGGGCCGAGGATCAGATGACATTTGGGGCTACTCCAGCCCCTCACCCACACCCCAGCATGGACCCTGGACATCTCAGGAGGCTGACTCATTCTCAACTCAACTTCACTCTGCTTTCCTTCCCATCTGGAGATCCACCTTCTGGCCTTTCAGAGTTGTTGCCTTTTCAAATCTGCCTCTGTTAATTAGATCTAAACTGAGTTATTACTTGGGGGGATCCTGGAGAACGTGCTCTGATGAGGAAGGCAAAACCCACTGATTCACAAGATTGCCTCAGACTCACCATGGCTCTGTCTCGGAGCTCCCAACCTGAAGAGCTGAAGAGGGAGCCTCTGGGATAGCCAAGCTCTGCCGCAGGCCCCTAGCCTTCGAGAAAAATATCTATCTTCACAAGAGTCACACGCCCCATGTAGCAGAAAAACATGAGACCTGGAACTAAGTGGCCTGAAGCCAGCTCCACTGTCCCGCTGCATTCAGAGTCGCCCGAGTTGTGCTAAACCGCAAGAACTAGGCTGGTGGACCTCAGACCCACACAAGAGACGCTCCAGTGGGTCCCAGTGACTGGTCCACAACTGTTCTTTCACTGGCATCCAACAAAACAGGAAACAAAAACACAGGCGTGTGGTGAGTTTCTCACAGCACTAAACGTATTCAGTGGGAAAGACTGTTCTTTATTCTCAGAATGAGGGTTAAATGGCCTTTCTTTCAAGAACTGATAGAAAAAGCAAAATAACTGCTACTTTTAACAATGTCCTTGCCTGCCAAAATACAGGTGGCAACCATAGATCAACCTCCATTTTTGCTTTAAAATGTTGCAGGTCCACAAAATTAAGATGGCTGGTAACCATTAGCTGAGGCTGTCACATCCAGACAGGAAGCCCTCAGGCATTCCATTCGGAACACAGACCATCAGATACTCGGGATACCCAAACCAACTGTAGAAAATCACCTTCACACCCTTCTCATACGTGGACTATCACTTTGGTCCTCCAAGTTCTAGCACAGGGTTGAGTAAAGTCTAGTCACAAGAGATCCAGGTTGAGGCAGAAAAGCCAACAACTTCACAATATGATACCGTTAGAGGTTTCTGTAAGAATTTCCAAAGGGTTCCTACTTGGCATATTTTCACAAAAGGATGGGGGTACCATCCTCTAATGAACATACATGTCAAATCCTGAGTTAAAGTACTAGCCTCAAATGTACAAATTTCATTTACAAATCAGTTCAGGGGAAGAGTCCCAGTAGTAACTACCACAGAAACAACTACATAACACTTAGAGAAAGCACTTACTGAAATGTGCTAGCCCTTCAGTCATGTGCTTTACCCGAATTAACTTATTCAACTTTCATTCCATCAGGTAGGTGCTATTATGATTTTCCACTTACCAGGTAAGAAGTTAAGACATCTGCCCAAGATCAGACAGCTGGAAAGTGGTAGAGTCAAGATTTGAACCCAGAACGTCTCCAGAGTCCAAGCTCTTAACCGCTACACTACATAACCTTCACAGAATCACTGAACTTCTCCAGCAAGGGCTGTGTGGCTTTCCTCTGGGTGGCTGCAAGGTGGTGGAGGGGGAATGTTCAGGCTTAAAGACAAGGAAAAATTTAGAGGAATCTGCCTCTCCACTCACTAGTTCTCTGCCCTTAAGCAAACTGATTAACCTCTATGAGTCACACTTTTTCTCAAATGTAAGACTGGGATTACAACAGATGCTTCAAGGAGCTCTATTCGGATCCGAGGCTAAGCCCTGTCCACACAGCAGGCAACAAAGTGAGTCCTTTCCCTCCTCCTCTCCCTTGGGTACCCGGAGGAAAGGCTGAGACACAAAAACCACACAGAATACAGGGACTGGTGGCATGAGCCACTTCATCACGGGGCCTCAGAAAAAAGCCGGCGTAGAGATAAGTCTCTTGTCAGAAATTCAGTCTTCAAATAAGGACTGAATGCCTACAAAGTGCCAGACATTCCATGAGGCACCAGAGACACAGGACTGACCAAGACAGCCCTGATACCTGCCCATGAGAGACAGATAAATAACCAGACACTTTGATGCACGTGGTCACAAATGTGGTAAGGAAGATCCCAGTGAAGGTAGGGAATGTGCTGGATAAGAGAATATAGCAAAAGAACCTGCTTCAGATCTGGGAGTCGGGGAGCTTTCTTGAGGAGACCTGGAACTGAGAGCTGAAGGATGAAAGAAAGAAAAGGGAAGAGCTTCTTAGGCTGAGAGAAAGGCCCTGTGACAGGAAAGTAGTACGTGGGAGGAAACTGGAAAGACAGCCAGAGGAGCTGGAACATAAAGAACAAAGAAAAGCAAAGAGTAGCTTGGGGCTGGAGGGACTGAAGGGGGCCAGGGCACGGGGCCTCCCAGAAGGGCAGTGAGAAGCTGCTTGCGGGAAACACTCACAGATCAGAACAAGCGACTGAGTGGGATGAAGGCAGGTGAACACTGGCAACACTCCGAGGGTAACACTGGGGCGTGCACTCACGTCCTGTGGCCACCAGATCCACGCCACGGCCGTCAGATCCAGGATCCAGGCCCGAGAGCCCGGGAGCCAGACCTGTCACAGGAACATGCCGATGCTCAGAGGACAAGAAACCCCTCAGATGCGCTCACCTGGACAACAGGAAATATGTGAATAAAGTCCATCCCCTGGATCTGGTGGGGCTCCAGCTGGTGTGGACATTTCATTCTTGGCAGGACGGAGACGATTTTTTCTGACAGAGCTCTGCTCGGAGGAAAACAAGAAGCCAAGAGTGAGAACACACTACGTGGCTCTTCAGACATCTCTACCGTCTGGGCCGCGTGCCAGAGGGATCCGGGGCTTCCCAGTCCCAGACCAGGACCACACTTCTCCTGGCCGACAGCAAAGTGAGAAAAATAGGCACAATTTACCGTGCGCATGTAAGGCCACATAAGGAAAATTGCATTCACCCTTAATTCCAAGATCATGTTCGCCTACTTTTTGTAAGAAAATATTCTGTTTCTTCACGAAGTTACGGTGGTGTCTGAGGTGGTAGCTATTTTTTTTTAAACATCCTTACATGGCAAAATAAAAAGTTATTAGTGCTACACGTTCTACATTTCACTTTGTTGTCTTTCTTTTTCCAAAAGTCTGGAAACCACTAGGTTAAACATTTTTTAAAAACGTTCTAAATATCATTCGCACATGCTTAGTTGCTCAGTTGTGTCTGACTCTTTTATGACCCCAGACTGTAGCCCACCAGGCTCCTCTGTCCATGGAATCCTCCAGACAAGAATACTGGAGTGGGTTGCCATTCACTTCTCCAAGGGATCTTCCTAACCCAGGGGTCGAACTTGGGTCTCATGCATTGCAGGCAGATTCTTTACTGTCTGAGCTAACAGGGAAGTTGAAAAATCATCCGCGCAACAAATTAATTACCAGACTTTATGCCAGGTGCCCAGAATATTAAGACAAAACATGAGGTCTCAGGCTTGTGTGGGAAAAAAAAAACCCCCAAAACTGAAGTTTCTACTCTGTTAAGAAATATTGTTGAAATAAACAATAGCCTTTAATTTTGCTACTCTAAAATTAATCCTAGATTTGGAGGAACCACTCTTTCTCCAGAGAAGAGGAGTTTTCAGCTTCTCACAAGGGACATGATCTCTCTCCTCCACCTGGCTCGGTCCTCCCCTGAAGTGGCTGGAGGAGAAAGGAGGCAGGCTCTCTGAGGCCCAGAGCATAACTGACCTCAGTCAGGAGGTGAGCACCCACCCCCACTGGATGCCCAGCTGAGCCCTGTCCCGGGTGGGGCAGTTTTACGGCAGGAGTGAAAGAAGGACTTGTGTGCAAGTTCGTTTCACCACAGATTTAAATCTGTGACCAGTTGCTATTTGATCGCCGATTGTCTGATTTCTATTTCTTATATCTTAGTTGGATCAGATTCAAGAGGAGAGAGAACAGAGGTTTTCAGTGGGCTTGCTAACCCACAAAGCCATGGCACATAGCCTAGGAACTCTGAGAAATAGTCCAAGCTGTGGCCTTGTGGGGTCATAAGGAGAAATGGGGGCTCCTGGCTCAGCCTACATGGACAGTTTAGGTATCCCCATCTAAGACATTAAAAAATTTCAGCCAGAGTGGCCTCATCTAAAAGTATCAGACTATTTTCTAACAGATAAAGGCAATGGTTACAAGGTCAGCAGGTTCTTACTAGAGGCTTCAAATACAGCAAGTTTTGGGTCTATCTACCAAAAGGTATCCCTTATGCAAAGAAATCTTGTACACTTTTGTCTTTTTGCAGTTCTACAACCCTTTCCAAGAGACAGACACCCATAGGACCAACACCTAACTCAGGCCTGGATACAAGAAAATATCTAACTTAAGTTTCCCTTATCATGTTTCATGCCCTCGCTCTTCGTAGGAACTAAGTAACCCTGGAACAGAAGTCAAATGCCTCCCAGAGAAGGCTCCCCAGAGAACACACTACACAACCATGTTTATATCTACAGTAGCTTCACAAGGCGGGACCAAGCTTAAAACTGCTGAGTGGAAACAGTCATAATCATAACATCAAGTCCAAGATGTTAAGAGAAAAACATGTGGAGAGAAGTCTGCTCCCTTATTGCACACACTCACAGAAGGCAGGGCTACCCACCTTCTAGGAGGGGAGGATGCGGGAGGACGTGTTCACTGCAAACAGAAGCGGGGTGTGATTCATCCAAAAGGCCTGAGGCGTGGAAGCAAAGTGTCATCTGACTCCCAGAGCCCCTGTGGGCCCTCCTTTCTGAGTAGCCCGTCCTCAGGACACAAGTATCTTCTCTGTCCCAGTAGGGAAGCCTGTGGTTGCCCAGCTCCTCCTGGGGTCCGAATGGGACAGTTTGGTATAAAAGACCGACACATCCATTTGGCAACATTACCTAAAGCTCTCTCTCTGATAAGTTTTACTTTTTAATTTAATGTCCGTAAGACTCCCATGTCTTGTTCCTTAATTTCTCTGAAATTTGTGATGAGAGGAAGAAATGGGTGCTTAATTGGCTCTGCTCCCCAGATTCCAAGCTTAGCAAGTGAAGATGGTCACACTCCGGCTTCCAGTCCTTGCTCAGAACAAGGACTCTGGTCACACTCCAGAACCACCTAACCAAGTCACGTTCTGGTTTGGCAGGAGGAGCGCTCCCTCTAGTGGCTACAGATTTGTGGCTCTATGCAGGGAGGGTCACTGATAGCACATAACCATTCAGAAGCTTAAAAATTAGAGGCTGGGACACTAACATCATCCAGCCAACCTTCCACCTTCAGGCAAGGTTCTCCCTGGCGACTCCTCAGAGATGGCCCACTCTCCCAGTTCATAAAGGCCCTGAGGGAAGGATGCCCAGGGTCATCTTGCGGTTTACAACCCTGTTAAACCTGCCTCCCAGGAATGACGACCAAGCGTGCAGCCTCAGCAGCGTGTAGAAGCAGAGGCACTATTTCTGCAAAGGGGTGGGGATGTGGGAGAAACAGGCCGGCTTGGGGGCAAAAGTCAGGAAGACTTCCTGCAGAAACCTACCAGTCTCCATTGGGCTTTTCCCTGGAGCTCAGAGTGGATCTTCTGACTTTCTGAAAATCAGGGAAAATGACAATTGTAGAGGTCACCAGACAGGTTTCCCAGTCTATGCTTTTAACACACACACTTTTCATTACTGGAGGTAAGTTTGGTTCCTTTAGTTTTCTAAGTGTTCAATGCACTGTTTCCTTCTCCACTGCAAACAGTTTGGAAGAGAGAGAGTTAAACCAGGGTCTAAATTCCAAGCTCCATCACCCACTCTGGTGCTTTTGGCGAGCTACCAAAAATAGCTACCAGTCCCTCTGGTCCAACACTACCATCATAAAATGAGAGATAATCTCTGTCCTGCCTATTCAAGGGTTGCTATGAAGTTTAAATAATAAAGTGCAAGGGCTCTGTACACAGGTGCCTAATAAATGTGTGTTGATGTGTGTTGTAGAAATGAACTCGGCTATAAGCCTAAAATCTTATTTATAGATCTTGGAACATAGCACACTGTGGTGACAGGACTTTAGGACAAACTGGGGATGCAGAGGGCAAGCTCAGGGAACCCATATGAAAGAAGGATCAAGAAAGAGGATGAGACCCCAGTGGAAGCCCATCCACAAGTGAGGCCCATCTGTGCCCCAATGGAGCACAAATGGAAGATAAGCATGCCCTATGAGGCAAGTGTGTAACTTAGAGATGGTGCTGCCCCCTCGCATCAGCTGAGATGCACAGAGGCACTGCAAGCACACGGCAGTATTAGTCTGAGCGGTACCAAACCAGAAACTTCGTGGGAGGTCCCCAAACACAGAACACAGGCTCAATGGACATGAGTTTGAGCAAACTCTGGGAGTTGGTGATGAACAGGGAGGGGTGGCATGCTGCAGTCCATGGGGTCACAAAGAGTCGGACACGACTGAGTGACTGAACTGAACTGAACCAAACCAGAAACTTCGTGGGAGGACCCCAAACACAGAACACATCCCAAAACCAAACAGAAAAGATTTTTGGATAATTCAGTGCCCTGTGGCTATGACACTTCTCCTACAGATAATAAAGACTCAACTGCCTGATGAATCTGCTAGGAGTCTACTGGGTCTTTACAAGTAAACCCTGTCCCCAGCTTTGCTTTCACATCAAGTACTTACCAGGAAAAATAATACACCCTCAACTCCTTAACCAAACCCTGTGGGGGCAGATATACTTCAGAACTCACAATTCTTTAGATGTTGCACCTTAGTAGATTAAGGGGTATATACTATGTATTATGTAAGACCCACTGAAATCCACAGCAGCACCCTATCATCAAAGAAATGAGTATTTCTGTAGTAAAACTTATGAATATTCACATAAGTGGGATCAATAAAGACCATAAATAACCTTAAGTCAGTCAGGTCATGTTTTAGTTCCAATTAAAGTTTTATATCCACACCTGAAAGAAGAAAAAAAAAAAAACCACCAACATTTTCACTGTTTTTTAGATTTCAGAAATACAGATTGAGAATCCCAGCCCACAGAGAATGCAAAAGACAGAAATCCCAGAACATCAGAGGGGCCACACGTGTAAGAGGCAATCAGCTCAAAATGGAACAGAAAGAGGCTTCAACTAAGAGTGTACTTTAGAAGGCAGAGAATTCATGTTAGTCAACAGACTGATTAAGAAGCTGGCTGATCTCAGCTACAGGTGAAAGTACATGTTTCTTTGTCAACAAGGGAAAAAGGCAATCAGAAACGCAAAGGGGTAAAAAAGCTTTGTAAACATGAAGCAAAATGAAGAGTGCTTGATTCTCAATGACTTGCAGAGACCACCTCCACTCGCTCGAGCCAAATACTTCACAGCCATCCTCCACGCTCCTCTCCCTCACACACTAAATCCAGTATGCCATGAGATCCTGCTGGTTCTACCTTTCAAACAGATCCAGAATGCCACCACTACTGGTCCAGGGGAGATTACTGTAACACGCTAAAGAAGCTCCCTGATTGCACCTTCACTCCTTTAATTTCAGTATTCAGATGAGGGCTCCTTCTTAAACACAGAACATACTGTCTTCTTCCCCTGCTCAATGCCACCCTCCACGGATTTCGCACCTGACGCAGAGTAAACCCCTGACCTACAAGGCGCTACCTGTCTGTCCCATGCCCTCTCTGCACTTCCGTCTGCTGCTGCCCCCTCCCCACGCCCCACCCCCTCCACACTACACTCTAGGCCCGCTTCTGCGAGGGCCTTCATACTGGCAGTCCCCTCTGCCTGGAACCCTCATCCCTCAAGTCTTAACTCCAGCATCACTTTCTCAGTGAAGCTTACAGACTTAAACCACAGCTGCCTGCCACCCTACGTCTCTCCTCATACCCTTTCCTGGGTTTAGTTTTTTTTCACAGCACATATGTCTACACATACTGTACTTATTTATTAGACTAGTTTTTGTCTGTCTCCTCCAATAGACTCTAAGCTCCATGAGGGTAGCACATTTTTCATTAATGCATCCAGAACATTATGAATTTGCTGAGTCAATGAATAAATGAAGAGATTGCTTTTGACTGTAATACTTCAAATATTCTCCTTTAAATAGCACCATTATAGTCCAGAAAATTACTGTTGTTTTTCTGACCCCATCACAAGTCTTTACTGCAAATACTGTTTATAGATTTGTTTTTAGAATCTACCTGTAGATAAAGCATGGACAACTTAACTGCTACTATAGAACAGACTATAAACAGGAGGAACTACTTTATATTAATGGGTCAAGAAATAAAAGCTTAAGTAGAGCAAAATTATGCAAGCGATTATAGAAAAGAAAGATAAAAATTAAAAGAGTGGAAGTTGGAAGACAAAGGGGATGTAGTGAGTGGTACAGGTGAGCCAACTTCCTCCTCTCTTTGGATTTGAATGAAACAGTGTATACAAAGGTGGAGACATATTAGTGACCACGATGAAGAATATAAAACCTAGACAGTCAAAGACGACTCTCTCCAGGGAATAAAACTAGGGTGTAAAACGGGAAAGGGGAGAGACGTCAGCCGCATGTTTTGCTCCCTTTGGTAGTATCTAAATGTTTCTTGTACCTTCACGTATGTAACACCTTAATAACAGAACAGGACTACACTCCCCTGCTGGCTTGAACTGGATCACTGGGAGCAGAGCCACACACCTGGACTCCATTGCACCCATCCCCCAAGCGAACTTCTCTCTGTGGGTGGCTGGACATGATGCCACAGCCCCACACACAGGTGTCAGGATGCAGCGCCCACTATTCCTGGCCGGGCACTGATGACAGCATTACTGTGTCAAACAGCATCAACTCCTTAACAGGGAGCCAAGAATGCCTTTTGGTCTTAGTGTTAAGGGTTTTGGTGATTCCCAGGGACTTGTTTTTCTTCTACTATATGGAAAGCATAAATTGGATAATTTATTTTTTCTTCTTTTAGTGTTTTTTCCTTCTTTTCAGCCAAATCTTTGTCCCATTCTTAGGAAAACAGGGCCTTTTGACTCCTCACAGTTGTGTTCCTTACGCACAACTCTGCCTTTCCTTCCCTTTTTTACCCCTTTTGCTTTGCTTCACTTTTCCACTATTACTGCTCTCCCATGCATCATAAAGCATTTTTAGTCCATTTAGGGGAGGACAAGGCTTCAGAAAAATGAGTAAGTAAATCACAGACTCCTATAGATCTGAGATCACAAACCCTCTTTCTATACATAAAGGAAGGCTTGCCCAAGGTCACACAGCTGCCCACTGGCAGGGCTGAGCAAAACTGGGATCCCAGTGATCTCATGAAATATCAAGTCCCTGGTGAGGTACAGAAGATCAGCCAGGGCACCCTTCCAGGATGTCTTTGGCAAGGACACAGGCAAAGTGAGGCTCTGCCTTATGCAGAAGCAACAGGGAAGGAAAGATCCCCTCCCTTCAATTATCCAACTTCCATCCAAATTCAGTGCCTTTGGAAGGAGATACTCAAGCAATCAACAGAAATTTTGATCAACAAAAAACACCAGAAATAGCCTATTAACATTATAATAATATTAGATGACTCTCATGTGTTAGCTGTGTGACCTTGGCTTCTTTTAGTCCATGAGTGAAGCATCTAACACAACCTTTGGCACACAGCAAATGCTCAAGATTTATCTCCTTTCTCACTGTTAGGCTCACCCATGGAAAGCCCAATAACTTACATTTTCTGACCTATTGTAGAGTTCTCCTGAAAGAGTAAATCAACATCCACGTCAAAGTTGCAAGTGGTGATGCACCAGGTCATTCCTCCCACCACCTGCAAGACATAAAAAAAAAAACCCTATTTTCTCTTCCTAGTTTGGGAAGAAGGGAAGACGTGTAAGGCAGATAAAATAGAAACAGTTTTTACATAAAAAATTGTGTATCCTCAGAGACAGACAATATGTGTCCTGGCTCCATCCACTACAACTCATCTAAACAGCTGCTGCTGCTGCTAAGTCTCTTCAGTCGTGTCCGACTCTGTGCGACCCCATAGACAGCAGCCCACCAGGCTCCCCCGTCCCTGGGGTTCTCCAGGCAAGAACACTGGAGGGGGTTGCCATTTCCTTCTCCAATGTGTTAAAGTGAAAAGTGAAAGTGAAGTCGCACAGTCGTGTCTGACTTTTAGCGACCCCATGGACTGCAGCCTAGCAGGCTCCTCCGTCCATGGGATTTTTCCAGGCAAGAGTACTGGAGTGGGGTGCCACTGCCTTCTCCCATCTAAATAGCACTGCTGGATAAAGCTTTCTGCCAGGACAGGAGCAGTCCGGATCCACACCATTTAGTACGGTGCTGCCAGCCACACATGGTTACTGAGCACTTGAAACATGTGGCTAGGGGACTGAGAAGCTGCCTTCCAAGACTAAATGGATGTGTGATGTATAGATTCTCCTTATACCAACGGGGATGGACATTAGCTCTCAGCTGAGAGAAGCCTTAATCCAGTTACAGTCAAGTGCAAGATGGCAGAGGAATTACGAGTTTTATGGACCAGATATGTGGGTAGCAGGGGGGACATTCTGTGGCTTGTTACTTAATTTCCATACATCCCATTTTTTCTTCTGCCTAAAGGAGATGAGAATCTGTACTCTTATTTTGCCATGGGACTTCTCTCAGATGCAAATGAGACAAAGGCTAAAAATCCTTTTGAAACAAAACCTTCATAGACACAGCTTGAATCAGAAAAGATCAACAATGAATCTTATCCCTGGCTATACTGTAGACTCATGCGAGATGCCTAATAAAATACAGATTCCAGTCCCAGCCCACACCTAACAAACCAGAATTTCAAAGGCTGAGACCTACACATCTGTATTACAAAAGAGCCTGTTACGTGGAGACAGGGTTTTGGCCCACTGCGGAACTCAATGCTTCCTTCTACCAGGAAGCTTACCCGGCATGTTCCGGCTGATCTGGATGCCTCACTTCTGTGCTCAGTTCATTGAGGCACTTAATGAATTGTGCCAGTTATTCCATGTGCACTGGCTTGCTGTCTGTCTTCCCTACCCTGCAGAAGTCAGGCTCTTTGAGTACAAGGTGTTTGTTCTTATCCTTGTGCTCTCAACCCTACTTCTATTCCTCATGTGTAAGAACTGTTCAAGGTTCTGCCGAATTAAATGACTTCATCCAACAGCGACTTCTTCCTTCTCCAAACCTAGCATTCAGAGCCCAGAGAATACCTGGCAACTATCTGTGAGCATCCCAACTTGGGATGAAAGTGAAAGTGAAAGTTGCTCAGCTGTGTCCAACTCTTGGTGACCCCATGGACTGTACAGTCCATGGAATTCTCCAGGCCAGAATACTGGAGTGGGTAGCCATTCCCTTCTCCAGGGGATATTCCCAACCCAGGGATCGAACCCAGGTCTCCCGCATTGTAGGCAGATTCTTTATCAGCTTTATCAACCTGGGATAGCTCCCTATTAACTCAAATTACTTTATCTTACAAGCTTTATCTTCCCACCCAAACTTTAAGCTCCTTGAAAGGAGAAACTATTTATTTTGCTTATTTGTATTTCTCAAATCTTCGTGCACAAAAGGACTTGAAGGTGTATTTTACTGATACATGAGTATTTTCTTTTAATAGGAAACAAACACTTTCATAGTGAATCTGAATCCTGGAGAAATGCACCATGGATACATAGAAAGAAAAATACAATCTCTTCTTCCTTTCCACGGTAAACCATGACATCCTGACAAAGACTACCCTAATGGTTAGAAAGATTTCCTCTTACCTTGTCAAAAGGTGATAAGCCCTTAATTCTTGCCCTGAAATACCCAGCTGCAACCAAGAGCTCCAGAATTTCAGTCAACTTGACATTCTGCTCTTCATCTTCTCTTGTTTCTACCTAAAACGAAAGCAAAAGGCTGGCAAAAGCTACCTTGAATAAAGGATCACCAGGTATATTCCCTGACAGCATGGACTCACTGCCAGGGAGCATGTGATAGTGGCAATTATCACTGTGTCCATGCAGTAGCCTGCGGGACACAGTGCTGCCAGAGTCACACAGAACAAGGTCCCTGCTCAACAAGCGGTTACCATCACAGACGGGGGAGAGGACATGCACAGGTGCATGAAGGAATCCAGGGAAAGGAAGACTTCACCACACTTACCACCCCGTTCTCTAACACGTGACTTATATAGCAGCTTTTCTCAACTGCATTATAAACTCCTTTCAGATGGAACAGGTGGTTTGTTTTGTTTGAACTTTACACTCATCTTGGTTCTAGAAGTTACCGACAAGAGGGGCAAGAACAAAGGATTCAATCATGTGGCCCCCTCTGCTCTTTGATCTCTATAGCAAATACAAGGAAGGCTTTCAACACAAGACATATTACAGGGTGATTGCTACCATGTAACAGGGCTGCCTTAAAAACAATATTTTCTTGATACATTTAAATAGGGATTTGATTTAAACATTCTTTATTTATATCCTACCTTCACTCCAGGCTGTTAACTCCAAGTTCAATACATCTAAATAGACTAGTACTTTTGCTTCCATACACTTTACTGAACTGTGCCTTTCCTGTCTTCCATTATTGCAGAAAATAAACAACTGCCTCTCTATAGAAAACAATGTCAAGATGTCCTGGTTCATAGCCTCATATCTACCTCTGACTATTCCCTTTAGCTAAAAATGCCTGCTAAATCTTCCTTAATTATGCAACTCACATTTATGCTATCTTCCATTTGCATGTCATGTCAGGACAATGGCAACTGCCTCTCAATCTTCCTTCCCTATTAGTCTATCCTGCTCATTCCTTCCTAAATCACAGCTTTCTCATCACCCCTCTTTAGTTTAGCACCCAGCCCTCATCATTAAGGCATCACTCACTGACTACCAGATAAGTTCCCAATGTCTTGGTTTTGCATTCAGATCTGGGGTTGCAACCTATCTTTTCAGCTCCATCCTTTACCTCCCACCAAAACAATCCAGGCACAGTGGTGGCCAACCTAAACAAGCCCTTCTCATCCCTTCACTGCTCTCCTGATATTCTCCAAGCACCCAGACACCACCTTCAAACTCCAGCTCCCATTCAACGTCATCTCTGCAGCTTAAAATGGTCATTCCTTTGCATCTCTATTTTATTTATCGTCTGTCATTCATACAATTACCAACTTCTTCTGAGTGGCATGCCTGTCTTTCCAAATAGACTGTTAGCTGGTTGGGTGGGGGGTGGCATATATTCCATCTATTCGCCACCCATGTTTATCTCTCTGTTCTGAACAGCGTTAGACTCCAAGGACACACTTATTAAACATGGAATGACATGCTTAACCATCAATCACATAAGCCCCATGACCTAAGCCAGTCACGTATTAACAACATGTTTTCACAATCATGACACTGATAATGGAAAGTCAAGTTTATTTTAAAGTACAAACTTTCAGGAGGAGCACACATGTTAACACATCATTGAACATGGAATTATTAAAGAGACTGTTTATCTCCTGCAACAGGCAGTGATGGAAGGGAAAGCCTGCTCATTTCACTTCCCTCTCAAATGACACTGGTCCAGGCTAGCAAAGATTCTGAAGGTTAGCATTCACTAATTCCTAGAAGACATGCAAAAATATTAATTATTCACACCTTCTCTTCCTTGCAAAAGGTCTGTGATGGTTGAGAACCATCTACAAGTCGAGAGATTCAAATAAGAGAAAATAAAGAACAGCTATGGTTCACAAAAATAGAACAGAAAAGAAAAATGGGATAATGTAAGTATTTTCTTAAAACTCCTGGGATGTAAAAAAGGAATCCTTCATTTGTTCAATCACGTATCATGAAGACCCTTCCAAGAAGAGGACAATACATCAGCACAACCCGGGAGGGTCCTCCCTGTCGCACCTTGTACCTAATGGGCACCCACTGCCCACACCTTGACAAGTGTACGGCCCACGCTTCCCATCCACCCACCCCCAGAATGGAGAAGTGTACTTCTGCATTGCACCTTGTGAAGTAATTTTCTTGCACAAGACAATGAATGGGGAATGTTAAGACACCAAATCCACTTCATAGGTTAGCATTAAAACAAAATGCAAAAAGGTCACTAGCTAATATGCAGTGAATGAAAGAATACTCTAGCTTGAAGCCATAAAACATCTCCAGGCTGGGTAATACATCCAACTCTTAAAACTAAAATTCTAATAAAAAGGAATGCTGTGAGCTCTTAAACTAGGAACACTAAACTGTCAGTTGTCTTGGACCATAGTTCATGTAAGCTGGAAGGCAGGGCCACATCTAGCTATCTCTCTTTCCTTCACATACATAAAAGCTTTTACAAAATTACATTTAATGAAATAACCGGACTAGTGACAGCTTCATGGCACATACTATTCATATTCATACATACTAGTCTTTGAACTAAGTGAATCCTGTTTGCCTCCTAATTGTCAGGAACTTGGAAAAGTGACAAATTAGACCCAGTCTCCTGACAGTGAAGGGTTAAACAAAGGACAAAGGAGGTGCAAGTTGTTTTTTTTCTAGAAAGACCCTACCGGTGGTACACTGGGGCAAAGAACTGAAGGGATTTAAGTTAGAACCTGGGAGACCAGACAGAGTCCACAGCAAAGTGCCAGGCAAAAAACCTGATGAGAGCCTAGAACTTAAAAAGGCAAAAAAGAAATATCAAATCAAATCACAGAACAGATTCTAGTCTTCACAAACCCTGGTCCATCAAAGCAACTTGCTTGTCAAGTGTTACCTAACAGAAGGGTTCTGACATTACACTTGCTAGGTTTTCTGAAGATGATGAAATGGATTTGCATTCTGGGAGCAAACACTGACAGATTAAGTCTGTTCTGCAATCACTACATCTCCAGCTTTTATGCACAGAACAGTGATCCCTCAATAAATGGTACTAGTAGGATTTAAGAACTAAGCATTTGGGGAGTAAGGCAAAGAAGCAAGACTGGCCCCAGGCAGTTACGTGTGAAGGAACCAGGCACCACGTCAAGGAATCAGTCCGTCTGACAAATACCTGCTTCAGAACCTTAGGAAAGGGACAGAGGCGCAATATGGACTCCATTTCTTTCAAGAATCTAGTAAACTAAACTAGCTGTTGAGTAAATCAACTGGAACAGAGCACTGATGCAAACTGTCTAGCTAAGTGATCTTTGCAGTCAAAAGGAAATGCACTTTTCCTCTCCTCCCAGGTAATGTGTGTACAAATCCAGAACCCGCTGATCACCCTGTTCCTCGGGATCGACTGAGTACTTAATAACAAACACCTCTGGGAAGGAGAGGCACGCGCTCTACCTTCTGGAGAAGCAGCGACGTTTCCGCCCGGCCACTCCGCACGGTCTCCACCGCGGACACCGCGGTGCGCTGACCCGGCCGGACAAGACCTGGCGCGCGCCCGGCTCCCAAACTTCCTCCAGCCAGCCTGGCCCGACGTGGGGACAAACGCAGGGAGGCAATCCCCGCTCCCTTCCCCTCCGACACCACGGCGGCGGGTGCCGGCCGCCAGGACCCCGTGGGCCCGGGGAGGCGGCGGTAGGCGCCACAAGGTCAACGCCCTTTGCACAACCCGAGCCCGGACCGTCCCAGCGCGCGTCTCGTGACTACTGGGCGCAGGAGCCTCGGTCCTCGGGGCGAGCCGAGCGGCGCCGGGGGTCGGGGGGAGACTGCCGGAGGGAGCCAGAGAGGTGGGACCCCGGGCCCCAGGGCGTCTGGGGCAGCGTCGGGGCAGGCACTGGCCCAGGAAGGCTCCCTCCGTCCCAGGAGACCCGGCACCGTTTGAAGTTGGTCTCCGCCCATGTCCACACTGGGGAACTAGCTCGGCCCCCAGCGGACAGGGCCGGTGCATGGGGAGGCGGACACACCTGAGAAAGGAGGCGGGGAGCCCTAAACGCTGCCGGATCCCCCGGTGCCTGCGACGCCGCAGGCTCGGCCCTCGCTCGGAAACCCGGACGTGTCAGGGAGGGAGGAGGGGTTCCTTACCTCCGGGAGACCCTGGCCTTCCGGCCCCTTTGACAACCCCATGATCCCGTCGGACCGCCGTGGGGCCGCAGCGAAGCCCGCGGAGCGTCCGGAGGAAGCTGTCCCCGGCCCCGAAGCTGCTACCGGGGTGGCGGGCAGAGCGGAAACTTCCTCCGCCGCCGCAGCCTCCGCCGCCGCCGGGAGCCTGGAGCGCAGCAGCTCGGCGGAGCATGCGCGCTGGGGCAAGAGCGCTGCGCGACTGCGCCTGCGCGAGGGCAGCCCCGGGCTAGGCCGGGACCCACGCCGGCGAGGAGGTGCAGTTCTGCGCGCCTGACGCGGTCCTCGTTCCGCGTAGCTTCGCGCCCGGGCTCTGCGTGTTCCTCAGAGGTGCTCTATCAAAGGATTATTCCTCAATCTTGGGGAAGGTTTGCATCCTGCTTCCCCTCTCTGCTTCTCACGGGCATCGGATGCCCCAAGTGGGTTTGGTCCTCTCCGCAAGCCGGACTTCGGAAGCCCGGTTGCTCCCGGATCAAGGTTTGAGCAATGATCAACTTGGCGATTCAGACCCGGGCTGGTTCTAGTTCAGAATCGGGGTGTCCCCTGAGTTACACGCACTTGGGCAAACTTCTTGATATATGGACCAGGGAACCGAGTCCCCCGGAAAGGATTCCCTCCTTCCCTCCAGGCAGTGAGTGCGTCGTGTTCACTCAGCCTAACTACCCTCCGTTTCATGTTCTTCCTGAGAGGAAAGTCATCTCTGAGGATGCAACTCCTGTAATGATGTCATTTTAGTTACACCATTACCTGAAGCACACCTTGTCTGTCCCAGAGAATGGCATTTATATAAAGGAGTTATGTACCTAGCCACAAGTCTTGGGCACCGGCTCTATAATTATTATTTTTTTCTTCTTTAAGCGATGAAGAAAGAGGTGACATGTGAAAACTTTTCCTGTAGAAAAGTTTCCTCTGTGAGTGCGTTGGGTGGGAGGGGCCGAGTGAGGAGTGTGAGGTTGTGTGTTGCTTGAACTCAAAGAGGTTGTGTGTGTGTGTTCCTCACTGCATCCCTAGCATCTTAAAAAGCAGGTTCTCAGTTAATGTTTCTTTTTCATTTATTTTTATTAGTTGGAGGCTAATTACTTTACAATATAGTTAATGTTTGCCTTGAAGAAATTCTCTGCGACTTTTGCACTCCTCCCGGGCGTTTTCTTGACAGAGGAGAGATTTCTCTGGAACCAGAGTTTACAAGAGGTTGGAAGCATCGTATGAACGACCATTTCCTTTTAAAATATACTTAGTAAATATTGATAACGATATTTAGCAGTAAGTTGATAAATTTGAATATGCAAATTATGGCATGAGACCAGTCTTGCCTGTGTTGTGTGGCAGTTTACTCTTATCCACTGTGAAGCCAGGGAAACAATGTCTAAGGTGCCCACTCTCATAACTTCTTCAGTTCAGTTCAGTTGTTCAGTCATGTCCGACTCCTTGCAACACCATAGACTGCAACAGGCCAGGCCTCCCTGTCCATCACCAACTCCCGGAGGTTACTCAAACTCATGTCCGTTGAGTCGGTGATGCCATCCAACCATCTCATCCTCTGTCATCCCCTTCTTCTCCTGCCCTCAATCTTTCCCAGCATCAGGGTGTTTTCCAATGAGCCAGTTCTTCGCATCAGGTGGCCAAAGGATTGGAGTTTCAGCTTCAGCATCAGTCCTTCCAATGAACACCCAGGACTGATCTCCTTNCAATATACAGCTTTGACGTACTCCTTTTCCTATTTGGAACCAGTCTGTTGTTCCATGTCCAGTTCTAACTGTTGCTTCCTGACCTGCATACAGATTTCTCAAGACGCAGGTCAGGTAGTCTGGTATTCCCATCTCTTTAAGAATTATCCACAGTTTGTGGTGATCCACACGGTCAAAGGTTTTGGCATAGTCAATAAAGTAGAAATATATGTTTTTCTGGAACTCTCTTGCTTTTTTGATGCTCCAGAGGATGTTGGCAATTTGATCTCTGATTCCTCTGCCTTTTCTAAAACCAGCTTGAACATCTGGAAGTTCACGGTTCATGTGCTGTTGAAGCCTGTCTTGGAGAATTTTGAGCATTACTTTACTAGCGTGTGAGTTATTTTTGTAGGCTTAAAACTGTCCTTCCCTGACATGGCATAGGATGAGGGGGACTAAAGGTGGATAATTTGTACCCACTGTTGAATGACCAGGCAGGTACTGATGCCAAGGGACATATAGCGCTAACTCCCACAGCAGAAAGCTGTATTTAAAGCAGCCTGGGGAATAGGACCTGAAGAATAATAGGAATCAGGTAGGCCACACAGGAGTTCCCTGGTGTAAATGCCTTTGTCATGCTTTAAATAAACATGAGCAGCTATCTTTCCCAGTAGGAAACCATACAGTTTTACTGTCTGTGTAGACTAACAGTAGCAGAGTCAGGGTGGCAGTGTGCCCCCCACCCCCACCTTTTTTCCAAAGATTCAGCACGTCAGCCAAGACAGTAGTCAAGAAAGTTTGAGCAGCTCATGTTTACCTTGGAGAAGGCCTCAAACAGACTATGTCAGAAGGAGGTTTGTGGGGACTCAGATAAATGCATCTCTCCCCTTCTGGCTCAGGGTACCCATACACACATTTTAGTTCCCAACTGGGATATTTGGGGATTAGGGATCAGTTTGTCCCTCCTCTGCACATCCGGTAGAGAGATGTGTGATGTTCTTCTAAGTGTGAGATTCTCAGGAACCTTGCAAATGCTTCCCTTTTCTAGGTAAAAGGTTGCCATGGTGAAGAGCTTTCTGTTAGGGTCCTCTTTATTCTGGGTGCATTTTTGTAAAGCCTCAAACATGCTGTCCTCATGTTTCTCGCAGCTTTTCCACTCTAGGGCCCTTGCTGTAACCGAGAAGGGGAATTGTGAAGTCTTGGAGCAGGAACTTGGAAGGTAGCTATGGGTGTTTAGAAAAATAGAGTGACACAATTTAGGATACATAGCACATTATTGGCAGTGCTGGAACTAGAGCCTCAGATTTCTGATTCACAGTGTCCTTTTATCCTTCTGTCATTCATCTATCCAACCATCAATCCAACAAATATTCCTGAGTTCCTTTAACATTGGTGGCTTTCAAACTTGGCTGCACTTTAGAATCACCAAGGGAGTTTTAAAAATTGCCAATACCTTGGGTTCCACCTCCAGAAATTCTGGTTTAATTGATCTGGAAGGAAACATGAGTACTGAATTTTTCCCTTGGAATATATTGTTTATACACAAAACAATGCAGGTATATGCACCCGGGCAATGTGATAGTAATTAGTGACTACATTGTTATTGTTAGGTTTCTTTTTAGTTTACCGTGGCACACAAAATTTAAGATCCATAAACAAACTAAAAGTCTCTAAGTTAAGTGAGTTCTTCTTGAAAATTCTTAATTGTATGCTGATCTGTTGTCACACAGTAAAATTTTACAACACACATCCTATATTAAGCATGTCATATTTCTGCAGTAAAAAATGAGGCACCAACAGTGCACCATTCGAACGCTGTTTTCTGTGCACCAAAAGTAGAGGCGCAAGCACACCTAACCCCTCTGCTTCAGACCCAACCCAGCATGTGCACGCGCGCACACACACACACACTCTTTCTGCTTTCAGACCCAACCCAGCATGTGCACACGCGCGCACACACACACACACACTTTCTGCTTTCAGACCCAACCCAGCATGTGCACGCGCGCACACACACACACACACACACACACTTTCTGCTTTCAGACCCAACCCAGCATGTGCACACACGCGTGTGCACACACACACACACACACACTCTGCTTTCAGACCCAACCCAGCATGTGCACGCGCACGCACACACACACACTTTCTGCTTTCAGACCCAACCCAGCATGTGCATGCGCGCGCACACACACACACACACACACACTTTCTGCTTTCAGACCCAACCCAGCATGTGCACGCGCACACACACACACACACTTTCTGCTTTCAGACCCAACCCAGCATGTGCACGCGTGCGCGCACACACACACACACACACTTGGATGAGTTCTACTGTATCTTTCCAAACATGATACTTTTATTAAAGAATTCCAACAATTTCCATCATTTTCACAACCACATTCTACTAGCAACATTAGAAAGGACTTGACAAAGATCCAGCTACACAGCAATGAATAAATGCTTGAGAACATCTATTATAGCCTGTATCTCCTGTAGAAAATGATATCCAACTTTTTCTTGATAAAATTGTTTGACATTATACATTTCTTATTTGGGGGAGGAAGTGAATTTTTAAAACTTCACAGGTGACTTCGGTGAGCAGCCAATTCGAGAACCACTCTTTTTGTGCCAGAGACTATTTCCTGATGCTGGATATACTGCAGTTAGCAAACCAGAAGAGATGATTAGTGACAGCAATTAAGTATGTAAATTAATAAGTTAGTGTCGGATAGATGTAAGTGGTCTTCAAGAAAAAGAAACAGTGTAATATGATAAGGATTAATGCGTTGGAGTCAGAGGCTCTTTTAGAGCCGACAGTATGTACATCTTCTAGATAAAGGGATCAGGATAGTGTTCTTGTGAGACATTTGAGGGAAGACTCCAGTCTCAAGAATGTGCTATGGGAAGATCTCATGGAAGAGCATTCCAGACAGAAGGAGCATCTACGGTGTTCTGGAAACCTCTGTTTGCCCCTCCAGACCCACTCTCGCCCACCCCACCCCCACCCCTCCTCACCTTGCCAGCTGCCGTCCAAGGCTGGCTGCTAAGGGTTCCTCAGCAGGGCCTGGGGCGTGGCTGGCTAGGAGGTGAAGATCTGAAGTGTTGATTCTCGGGTTGGGGAATCTAGAGTGTGAGGCCTGGAAAGCAGAGTATCAGTAATAATTTGACAGACTGTATCAAGAACTGAAAAAATATCCTTGGACGTGATACTTCCACTACTAAGACTTAAGTACAAGATCTTCATCATAGGACTTCCCTGGTGGTCCAGTGGTTAAGACTTTGCCTTCCAACGCAGGGGGTGTGGGTTCTATCCCTGGTTGGGGAGCTAAGATCCCACATGCCTCACTGCAGGAAAACTAAAACAGCATAGAAACAATATTGTAACAAATTCAATAAAGACTTGAAAAAAAATGGTCCACATTAAAAAGAAACATTAAAAAAAAA